CTATATTCCCACACTCGGCAAGAATATAGGTTGGCATCCTGCCACCAGAAAACTCAACAGGAGAAAGGACCAAGATGATTCCTCTCCACCCCATGATTTATAGATAAGAGTGAATTTTTTTTAAAAATCCTGTTTTCAATTCTTTCTGAAAACATTGATTGGCACTTTGACTGTATTTCCTTAATTCAAGGGCTGTTCCTCAGTTTAAAATGCCCTTGTTCCAAAATAGTGGTTCTTAACCTTTTTAAAAAACACACCTCCTTGAGCCATTGAGGAAGTTATCATTGCCCCCCCTCCCCGTGGCAGTGGCGCTGCGGCGCCGCCATGGGGAGGGAGGGAGTGATAACTTCCTCAGTGGTGGTGGTGGCGCAGCGGCAGTGGCGACACCACATCCACTGCCAGCACCAGCTGCTCTGGATCTGGCAGTGTGGTGGCGCGGGTAGGGGGGCAATGATTACTTCCTCAGTGCCGGTGGCACTACATCCGATGCCAGCACCAGTTGCTCTGGATCCAGCAGCCTGGGGAGGGGGGCGATGATAACTTACTCAATGGCAGCGTTGGCATGCCAGCTCCATCGCTGCCCTACTGGTCCTTCACTGCCGTGTCACTCCTTTTCGTTCCATTGCCCCCCTGAAAAACGAAATTGTCCCCTGGGGGGCAATATCACCCAGGTTAAGAACTACTGTTCTAAAACATCACTGTAGCAATCACCGTGCTTTGGCTCAGGTAGAAGATTATTGGCATTTAACAATGAGAGCTGTTGGGAGGCGGAACCAGAGAAACTAGAAGGGAGCTGTGAGTCAGAGTCTAGTTAGTTCAGTCAGAGAGACAGAACTCACCCCTCTGACCTCTTCCATCTGCTCCTGACAGGTTCCGTCTGCTGAGGGTTCTGGCCTGTCCTCGTGGCGAAGCAACTTTTATATCCTCCGTGCACCAGGGACGAGCCACCTTCTATCTTTCCTCAAGGGGTTGTCTCCCTTTCCTCGTAGTCTCTGCCATCACCTTCATGGGGAGGGCTGTGGTTTGAGACCCAGTCTCCTGGAGGGAAGGGGCTTCTCCTACCATCCTGAGTCCACCTGTTTACCCTCTGGGTCTCCTGACCCCTAAGTTTTTCCTGTTGGTGCTCTCAGTGGGAGTGCAGCAGCTTACCAACAGAGATCTTTGCTCTTGTCCTCTTCCCATAAGATGATTAATATGTAATGAAATTAAAATGCTTCTGTCTTTGTTCAAGCCAAAAAAGATAAGAGCTTAATGTGTTGAGGTATTCTCATCCAGCTGTTTCTCATCAGAAACTGTCTTGGAAGTTCTTTTTCATGGAAAGACCACCTGCAAGCCAGAGATACACCATGGTTTGATTTGGGGGAAGTTGGGATTCTTCCCTCAACACCATCATTCCACACGTATATACACGGGACTTCCACATTTGCTATAGTATTTCCC